CATTTTTCAATTACTTGCTTAGTTAAGTCTTAAGCAGTGTTACACTGGGTTTTGGAAAACTTTTTGGAATCTGGCCATTTTCAAACCAAATTAAAGTAATACAAAATAAAGAGCTATGTAATGTAAAAAATTGCCAAGATTTTTTGAATCTTGATTCTATTTTTAAATATATGAAGGTATAATCCATTTTAAAATATCTGAATAGATACTGCTAGTTTCCATGAACAAGAAAGCAGGTGTCTGTTTATAATGGAAGTGATCATTCTGGATGGAAAAGTAACAATTTTTATCTGCTAATATTTTCTGTAGGAATTTAAGATCGTCTGTTGAGTTGTAATTTTGATAGTTTTACAGGCCAAGTAGGTACTCATTCACAAAAAGCTTTCCCCATATCTTGAAAGCTGAAGAATTCACTCTTTTATGGAGAAATCCATGTTTCATTACCAAGCTTTCCATAAAAGATAAAGAAGAATGAAGATAAAATGGAAATATCTCACTCAAACTTCTGCAGAAAAAAATAGCTTTACAACCATCTGTGTTTCTTCATGTGTGATTTGCTCTTGTTTTTCGTTTTGCTTTTTTTTCCATTTAATATGTTGGAAGTCAAATTTGGGTATATTACGATACCTTTATTATATGACTTACTCTGATATGACTATGCTGCTTAAAAATTTTTAAAAATAATCAAGAATCTATTTTTGTTAAAAGAAAAAAAATTTTTTCGTAAGTGTGAGTGGAAGATTTTGTTGTGTTTATAGCATACTTCTTGAAAATGATTCAATCCTGCTATAAACATTTTAGAAATAATATGTTGCACTCATTTGAATATAACATAGCTTTTTATAGATCTAAAAAGGAACTAGTTTATTTTTAAATGTAGGATCAAAATAGAAACCATGGCTTCAGTTATCATGTAAATAAATGGCAATATTAAAAATATCTTTGAAATCCAGGCTTATACGGGCAGTTAGTATATGACAAGGGAAGCAAGAAGTTACAATGGGGTAAGGATAGCCTATTTAATAAATGGTGTTGGGAAAAT